GAAAATAAAACCTGATATTTTAATGAAGCCAAGCTTATTACCTTCAGCGTGTTGCTGTTTTTCAGTGTTTAAATGTCATTTGTTTCAACCAATTTTAGCTGAGCACCAAGGGAAAGTACCTGGTGTCTGTGGAAGTCTTTCCCATTTTGGCCTCCAGTTTAGGGATAGCGAGTTGCATCTTTTCACCCAAATGCTATATTATTTTGCTGAAGCCAAATCCTAACACGAGAGAGCAGCTAACGAGAGAAAAAATCTGAGAAATGAATCTGAAATATTGTGCAATTATTCAAAGGAACACTATAGGAAAAAAATATGCTCTTTCAGCCAAAAACAATCCAAAAGAAACTTTACTGTGTACACTCTCAAGCAGACAACTCCAAAACAAGAAAATGATGCAAAATGAGGAAGAAAAGAGGTTTCTGTTCTCACAACAGCCACATGACATCAAAAGAGTTAATGAGGAGGAGGATGTGATGAGCTGTGCACTGTTAGCACCGAGAGAGGATTGGCGGCTAAATTCCCATAAGCACCTTCCTTATTTTTGCTTCAAACTCTTTGTGGATAGTCCTTATTCTTTCACCCTCCCTAAAAAAGAGATGGTTTTGCGGTGCAAGGGGAAAAAAGAGGTCCTTCATTTCTAGAATTGGTGAAACAGGGGATTATTAAAGACATGCATAGGTTCTTGTGATGTGGTTGGCAGTTTTTATCTATTTCCATTTGAGAATCTAGAGAGAGAGAGAGAGAGAGAGGGAGGGAGGGAGGGGGAGGGGGAGAGGGAGAGGGAGAGAGAGAGAGGGAGAGAGAAGTGAACTTTTAAAGTTTCCTTTGTCATCCAGAGAATTATTATTACTTATTTGATTTTATCCCACCTTTATTACTTTAAAAGTAACTCAAGGTGACAAACATAGCTAAGAATCCTTCCTCCTCCACTTTTTCCTCATAACAACAATCCTACAAGGTGGGTTGGGCTGAGGAAAAGTAAATGACCCCAAGTCACCCAGCTGGCTTTCACACCTAAAGCAGGACTAGAATTCACAGTCTCCTGGTTTCTAAGCCAGCACTTTAACAACTACACTAAACTGCCTGATGGAACTTGTTTTCCAACTTGTGGATAGCGTTACTTGAAAAAGAATGCCTTCAAAAAAGATCGGTTGTTCATCACCAGCATTTGATTTCTTGCCAATATAAGAGAGAAAAAGAGAATGTTTACTCATTCATTATTTTAATTAATGAATTCATTAATTTCTAGAAAGCTTTTTAACAAACCTTGCCCATTTTTTTCAGTCAGGTATTCTGCTGTCACTGAGTTTCAGTTGCCAGATTTAAAGCTGGCAATCCACATTTATTTTTTTATTTATTAAGTTACAGAGTATATAAAATAGAAGAAGGGGGGGAGAGGAAAGGGGGAAAGAAAATGAAGCACTGACTTTCAACTCTTCCTGTTACAGTAAAATAAAGTATTAACATCAAATCACAGCTGTTTGCTTTTCCATAATAGTTTGAACAAATCAATTCTCTAAGGATCTATCAGTCTCATCTGTAAAACCCAAAAGTCAGAATTACATTCCTTTCCACATCGAGCACGAAGTTCAGAAGCAGTTTCCATGTGGAAACAAAAGTATTTGTGTTCTTTTCTTTAATCAAAGTCATCAGTTTTGCCATTTCCACCAACTCCATCAATTCCTGCAACCATTCTTCCATGATAGGAACCAAATCCACATTTATTTGTCAGGTGCAAAGTAAGCACAATGAATCATCTATCTTTTGCTTAGGGGAGGAAGCAAATATTCTTTCATCCCAGGTATGTGACACAAAATACCAACCAATGGGCATGAGAGTTCAAGCATTCCTCTAACAATGCTCCTCTTTCCACCATCCTAGAAATGAGGAATCTTCCTTTTCCTTGCACCGCAAAATCACCTCTTCAATCTAAAGAATCTAAAGAAAATAAAAATAATGCAGTTACTTAGCTTAGCCGCCAGTCTGCTCTCAGTGTTCATTAGGGAGTCAAGTTATTTTCCAAAGCACCTGAAGGCAGGAAAAAAAGCAATGGGTGGAAACGGAACAAAGAGAGAAATAACCTAGAACTAAGGAGAAATTTCTTGACAGTTAGAACAATTAATCAGTGGAACAATTGGCCTTCAAAAGTTGTAAATGCTCCAACACTGGAGGCTTTTAAGAAGGGACTGGACAGCCATTTGTCACAAATCATATAGAGTCTCCTGCTTGAACAGGGGGCTGGACTAGAAGACCTCCAAGGCCCCTTCCAACTCCGTTGTTCTGCATTAAGAGTGCACAGTAAATCACATCACCAGCACCCACTGTTTGGATTCCACCTAGCTGTTTCTCTGACATTGCAAATATACAGATAGTCCTCACCATGTGACCACAATGGAGCCCAACATTTATGTTGCTAAGTGAGATGTTTGTTAGGTGAGTTTCGTCCCATTTGATGACTTTTCTTGCCACAGTTGTGAAGTGAATCCCTGCGGTTGTTAAGTTAGTCACGTGGTTGTTAAGTGAATCGGGCTTCCCTTTCCCCCTCCCCCCACATTGACTTTGCTTATCAGAAGGTCGCAAAAGGGGGATCATATGACCCTGGGAACATTGCAACCATCATAAATACGAGTCGGCTGCCAAGCATCTGAGTTTTGATCATGTGGAGATGCCGCAATGGTCATAAAGGGTGAAAAATGGCCATAAGTTATGCTTTCAGTGCCATTGTAACTCTAAACGGTCACTAAATGAACTGTTGTAAATCAAGGACCATCTGTATGATGGGTGGGTGAGTGGGTGGGTGTCACAGTGCATACAGATCCACCTGTGATACATCTACACTGTTTGTGTGCAGTTTTTTCATCCCAAGAGCATTAGGAAGAATGGAGGTGACCACCGAATTAAGCAAAGGGTTTGTACCTGCAGGTTCAGCCTTGAGTTGTTGCATTTCTAAAAACTGCGCACCTATTTTAAGTGTCCAGGACTGGACAGGTGATGAAATCTGCCTGAATGCTCATAAATTAAAAGGACCTTCCTATTTGACAATGGAGAAAGATGAAGGACTCTCCTTTAGCTGGATATAATTAAACAGAGGGATGGCCATTTATCCAGATGCTTCAATTAGGATTTTTCCATGGAAAAGAAGGTTCAACTTGAGAATCTAAATGGTCTAAATGATATTATAGGATTTTATCATTCAGTAGGTTACTAAGAAAGCCAGTTTGGTGTAGAATAGAGTAGAGTTGAGCAGAGTAGAGTAGGGTAAGGTAGGGTAGGGTAAGGTAGGGTAGGGTAGGGTTGGGTAGAGTAGAGGTAAAATAGAAGAAGAGTAGAGTGGAATGGAATGGAGGAGAAGAGAAGAGAAGAGAAGAGAAGAGAAGAGAAGAGAAGAGAAGAGAAGAGAAGAGAAGAGAAGAGAAGAGAAGAGAAGAGAAGAGAAGAGCTGAAAGGGACCTTGGAGGTCTTCTAGTCCAACCCCCTGCTCAGGCAGAAAGCCCTACACCACTTCAGACAAATGGTTGTCCAATCTCTTCTTAAAAACTTCCAGTGTTGGAGCATTCACAATTTCTGGTGGCAAGCTGTTCTCACTGTTAGGAAGTTTCTCCTTAATTCCAAGTTGCTTCTCTCTGTGATTAGTTTCCATCCATTTTTTCTTGTCCTGCCCTCTAGTATTTTGGAGAATAATTTAACTGCTTCTTCTCTGTGGCAGCCCCGCAAATACTGGAATACTGCTATCGTGCCCCTCCTAGGCTTTCTTTTCTCTAGAATTTGGCAAACCCAAATTCTCCAACTGTTTTTCATATGCTTTAGTCTCTAGGCCTTTGATCATATTAGTTGCTCTTTTCTGAACCTTTTCAAAGTCTCAACATCTTTTTTGTAGTGTGGTGACCAAAATTGGTTGCAGTATTCCAATCCTGCCTCAGGCCCAAAACCAGCTGTGTGACCTTGAGCCAGTCACTTTCTCTTAGCCCTAGGAAGGAGTCAATGGCAAACTGTTCTTCAAAAACCTTGCAAAAAAACCCCATTAATAACCCTGCAGTCAACCTTTGAGAATCAGACATGATTGAGTGGGTTATTTTTAAAAAATGTTACCAAGACCTTGGGCAGGAGACTACCAGGAGATGACAGCTTTATAAGTTAGATTGGAAACTTAAAAAAATATTTTTAGATGGAGGGTTAGAAAATCCATGAAATAAAGCATGTAATAGTTTCAGGGAACCATGATCAAAGATATTCAACTACTGAATATGTTTCCTTCAGGCAACCAGAAATGGAGGATTATAGCCATTAATTTTTTCTGGTGAGTTTCTGGTAGTTGCTGTTTTTTCATTGAAGTTGTTTCGCTTCTCATCCAAAAAGCTTCTTCAGCTCTGCCTGAATGGTGGGAATGGAAGGATTTATACTCCTTGCAGACAGCTGGTCTTTTGCATCCTTTTAGAGAGTTGTCGGAGTCACTGAAGCAGTGGGTGTGAGCTTAAATGGATTCCAGAAGATGGTAGAGGATAAGAAGGCCTGGAGGAACGTTGCCCATGGGGTCACGATGGGTCAGACATGCAACTAACAACAACAACAAAAAGAGAATTGTTGAGGCCACCTGGAGATTTATCTGTGTCATCAGAGTCACCTGAGTGGTACCTATGGGTGTGGGGCCTTCTTGGAACTGTTGTCGACTGAAGATAGATGATGTCATATCCCTCCCCTCTGTTGAGAGAGAGCTATTCAGTTTTGACATAGATGGCCTCTTTGAACCCTCTTTCAAAGCAGTGGCCCTCTCTGTCCAAAGTGTGGACTTTGTTGTCTTCAAAAGAATGGCCTTTGTCTTTTAAATGCTGGTGGACTTCTGAATCTAGTCCTGGTGGGTTTGTTCTCCTATGTTGTGCTATGCGTTTATGAAGTGACCCTAATGACACAAATAAACCCCCAGGTGGCCGCAGTGACTCTCTAAAAAGGATGCAAATGACCAGCTGTCTGTAAGGAGTATAAATCCTTCCATTCCCCCACTATCAAGTCAGAGCTGAGGAAGCTTCTTGGATGAGAAGTGAAACGTCTTCAAAGAAAAAAAAACAGAAAGTCCGGTTGCCTCTTGAAAAGGCACCTTTGGGACAACCATGACCTGGATGACCTGAGAATCTCCATAGACATTTCACTGGACTTGGTAAATCTCATTGTCCTGATGGGACAAGTCTCACTTTGCTAACTTTACAATGTGAAGCCTGTAGATCCGTGAGTTGGTCGCCTTCATGTTTTTTTCCTAGGCAAAATAATACAGAATATTATTTTCTCTTTTCTCCAGAACAGAAACAGGGGAAGAGATGGCTTCCAATTGGACCACTCCAGTACAGAACTGGACCTCAGTGACCGAATTTGTACTGGTTGGCCTTTCCAACAATTCTGAGACCCAACAGGTTCTGTTTGCAATCTTCCTGGTGGTGTACCTGCTGATTTTGGCTGGGAACTTACTCATCATAATCACTATCATGCTGGACCAGAACCTCCATACCCCTATGTATTTCTTCCTGAGCAACCTCTCTTTCATTGATATCTGCCACTCCACTGTCACTGTGCCCAAGATGCTGGCTGATTTCCTGTCAACCGAGAAGACCATCTCGTTTGGAGGTTGCATTGCTCAGATGTTCTTCCTTCACCTCTTTGCTTGCACCGAGATCTTTCTCCTCACCGTTATGGCCTACGATCGCTATGTAGCCATCTGCGACCCCATGCACTATCTCAATGTCATGAACCATAAGGTCTGTCTGCTCTTGGCGGTCACCATCTGGGTTGGTGGTACTATCCACTCCCTTGCTTTGATTGGCATGACAATCAGACTCCCCTACTGTGGCCCGAAGGTGGTGGACAACTTCTTCTGTGATGTTCCTCCAGTCATCAAGCTTGCCTGCACTGACACATATGTCATTGAGGTCCTGATTGTGTCCAACTCAGGCCTGATTTCTGTGGTCTGCTTCGTGGTGCTGGTGGTCTCCTATGGTGTCATCTTGGCCTCCCTCCGTACCCGTTTGGCGGCAGGTCAACACAAGGCTCTTTCCACTTGTGCTGCGCATTTGACAGTGGTGACTCTCTTCCTGGGACATTGCATCTTCATTTACTCCCGTCCTTCCACAAGTTTTGCAGAGGACAAAGTGGTGTCAGTTTTCTTCACGGCTGTGACTCCGTTGCTCAACCCCATTATCTATACTTTAAGGAACGAGGATATGAAACGAGCCCTGAATAAATTGCTTGGCCGGAAGGTAGAGACAGAGAAGTGAGAACTTGGCCCTCATATGTGACATGCCACTCATCAAAAATATTCAATAAAATGTGACCCAGCAACAGTTTTGCTGCCTGGTTGCTGGGTGGGCATGGCCATGGTGGGCATGGTCCACCGGAACTTCTGGGAGGGCCGTTTTTCATCTTCCCCGGGGACTGGAGGCTTCTCTTGGGCTCTGGGAGGGTGAAAACAGCCTCCCCTGGGGTCTAGAAGCCTTCTGGAAGCCAGAAATAGGCCTGCTTCCAGAATTCTGGAAGACCCATTTTCCCCCTTCCCAGAGCCTCTGCACAGACTCTGTACTTACTTTTATCCAAAATGGGCCTTATGGAGACTCCTGGGAGTGGGGGGGGGGGCAAAAGGTTGATTCAACTACAAATGTAAATTTAACATCTGGTTCACCCAAACCAGTCTGAATTGGTAGAATCCCACCCCTGCTTCCCTTCCTTCTTCACCTTTCTATCTCTTTTCTTTCTTTCTTCCTTCCTTCTTTCCTCCTTCCTTCACCCTGTTTTCTTTCTTTCCCTTCCCTTCCTTTCTCTCTCTTCCCTTCCTCTCATTCCCATCTCCTTCCTAATAACTTCTTGGATGATGAAATTGGGTGATGTCATTATCACTATTACTATGTTGATATTGCTGGGGAGATTTAGCGACTCTTATTTATTTGCTTATTTAGCATATGGCATTTATGCAGGGGTCATGCAACCATTGATATACAAACTTACCTTAAATAAAGCATCATAAATACACACAAACACACACAGATATTTATTGTATACATGTATGTGTATATGAATATACATATATACATATACATATACATTTCCTGGTGAGGCTGAATCCAAATAATAGATTAACAGAATAACAGAGTTAGAAGGGATCTTGTAGGTCATCTAGTCTAACTCCCTCCCCAAGCAGGAGACTTACAGCAGGGTTGTCAATTTCATTGAGGGCCACATCAGGTTGTGTTTAACCTCAGGGGGCTGAGGTGGACGTGGCTGGGGTGGGCATTACCAGATCAATGTCATTCATGTTGGGGGCACCTGTCTGGCCAAATACTAAGGCAGAAGTTCCATCAGATCCTCCCTCACTCTCATTATAATCTCCTTTTCCTTCCTTGCTTTCTTCCTTCCTCTCTCCCTCCCTCCCTTTCTTTCTTTTCTGCAGCCCTCTGCCAGTGAAAATGAAGGTTGGGAGGACTCCTGCATCCCCCTGGACCCCGTTTTTGGCCAGAACAGCCTTCTGCAGAGCTCAGGGGTGCATGCGGCCCTCCCTCCAACCTCAATTTTTGCTGGCAACCGCACTCAAGTCAGTTCTTTGCTGTTTTCAGGGAAGCCCCATGAGCCAGGTCTAAGCACCCTATTGGCCAGATTCAGCCCACAGGCCTTGAGTTTGACACCCCTGCCCTACACCATTTCTGACAGGTGGCAGTCCAGTCTCTTCTTGAAAGGTTTCAGTGATGAAACTCCCACAACTTCAGAAAGCAACTTCTGTTCTACGGATTGATTGTTCTCACTGTCAGAAAGTTTCTCCTTATTTCCAGGTTAAATCTCTCCTTGTTCAGTTTCTATCCATTGTTCCTTGTCTGACCTACAGGGTCTTTAGAAAATAGCTTGACCCCCTCCTCTCTGTGGCATCCCCTCCCTCAAATATTGGGACACTGCTATCATGTTTTCCCTGGTCCTTCTCTTCACTAGACTAACCATGCCCAGTTCCTATAACCATTCTTCATATGTTTTAGTCTCCAGTCCCCTAATCATCCTGGTTGCTCTTCTCTGCATTCTTTCTAGAGCCTCAACATCTTTTTGATTTTAATTGCCCAGAGTGACTCTGCTTACCTTTTAAGAATAGTCAAGGGAAGATTGTAAGAAGTAAATTATACTTAATGATAATTCATCATGGCGGCGCCCAACTAGGAAGGTGAAGCTCTCACTCCTGGACCACTATCTCCCTATAAAGCCACCACCTGAACCAGAAATCACTTTTAAAGCTGCTGCTTGCACCAGTAACCGTGAGTAAACCTGATCCCAAAAAACAAGCCCAAAAACGCTGGATTCTGAAGCCGTGGAGCCCAAATAATGCTAGCATAGCTCCTGCTAATTGATCCGGAGTCCTCCTCTCCCTCCCCAGAAAAGTGAAGCTCTTCCGTCGAGCCCTAGTAACCACACTGGTAGAGCTCTGGAACTGATCACTTGGAGCCCGAGGAGTGCAAACAACGTACCTTCGTTTAAATCCCTCACACAGCTGATAGAAGTATCTTCCACGCCAGACAACGCGTTTCCATTAATATCCCCCACACAGTTTCCCCGGAGCCACATCGGACAGCTGGCAGGGAGAAACAAGGAGGGAGGAGAAAGCACCGAGGCTCTTAGGAGCCAAAAGTTACCCTGGACGGCAGAGGAAGGCTTCGGTTGTTGAGACGAGAGGACAGTCTCCTTGACTGAATTTCTGCAGTGGAATTTTCCTCGGAAAGTGGGACTCAAAGGAGGAAAATAACTGTGATTAACGATCTGGAGTGACTGTCAGATTTAGTTAAAAAATGGTATTGCAACTAGAAGTAACTTTAAAAGTAAAGGACAGATTGGATTAGTTAACCCAAATTTCTGGACTGTATTTTAGTACTATTCAACTTGAAGAACTTTAGAAAACTATTGCAAAACAATCTTATTCAGAGACATACTGATTGTAGTTAAAGTGTTTTAATTCAGCGAGTTTTGCTCTCTTTCAAAAACCCAGCGTGCTTTGAACATCCTGTTACAGCCTTTTGTTTACAGAGCAATAACTGCAGCATTCAGAGCAATAAATTCCTCTTACCCAGTCTATCACAGCTGCTAGAAAAACAAACAACCCTTTCCTTAAAGACTCTCAATACTACCTCATTACTTTAATCAAACACCCATTAATTCATTACCTCAAAACTTACAACTTTTCTACATCATCACCTACATCAATGATTAGATAATCAATTTCTATAAAATATTTTATTAATGGTTTAATTGATTTATTGTATTAATTGATTATTGTGACTAGAGTGTTTAGTGCAAAGAGTGTGATTATTGACTAGTTTAAAAGATCAAGATTCATGTAATTTAATTGATTAGTAAAATCAGTGATTTAGTGAATTTAATTGAACAGTGTGACTAATGATTAGTGTAATTAATTGATTAGTAGTTAGTGTAATTAATTGATTAGATTGATTGTTGCTTAGGAAATTATCTGACTAGAGAGATTACTGCAATCGATTGATTGGTGTGATATTGGCTATATTGATTACCCAAAATTGTTCCATTAATTAATTCAATCAACGTACTATCTTAACAAACCTACCATGCCAAGAAAAAAATCCAATGCCAAACCACAACCTAAAGAGAATTTAATCCCCAACAATGAACCACAAGACTCCTGCACATGCCTTAAATGCTACAAAACTCTAAAGGATAATGAAAACTCCATCAAATGTTCTCTGTGTAACAAATACGCTCATCATGACTGCTTGGGATTACCCAAGCAATTGATTCAATACCTAGAATCATCCAATGAGTTTCCATTTCTCTGCAACTCATGCAGACCCAAACTGGATCTGTTGGAAAGAGTCGATACCCTTGAAACACGATTAACATCCCTTGACACCAAAGTAGCATACCTGGACGCCTTAAAAGAAAGATTATCCAACCTCGAAAAAAAAGACACAACGCAAAAACCTGAACATCCAATAGCTACAAACCACATCTCTACTCAACAACCACAACCCAATCCACAACCCAATCCACAAAAAAACATAACCCAGACAAATATTGATATCCCAATCCTCATCAGAGAGGCTGTTGAGCGTGAACGGAAACGTCCAAACGCCATCTTATTTGGTCTAGAGGGCATCAATGATAATGATGACATCACAACTGTCCGAAACATCATCAGTGATTATCAAGCATCAAGCATCTCCCCTGATGAAATACTTGACATTTCCTGCATTGGCCAAGACCTCAAAAACAGTGACGGCTCTGTGACCCCACGCTTCTGCAGGGTCATTTGCAAAAATGAATCAAGCAAACGCAAATTCATTTACACTATAAATTCACTCACCAAAACCAACACCAACCATAAGAACCTCCGTTGTCGCCCTGACCTAACCATACAGCAACGTGCCCGCTCCCGTGTACTCCGCACTGAACTCAAAAAACGTCTCGACAATGGAGAGAAGGACCTGTACATTGACTACCATGCTGACTGTATCAAAAGTAAGTCACACATCCCGCAACTCAGCTTTAACCTTCAACCACAACCCTACCTCAACCAATCCACCATCACCCAAGACTAGGCACGCACGCCCCTAACTACCTCAATTCCAACTACTGCTGGCCTTAAATGCAAGCTACTCAATGCAAGAAGCCTTGTAAATAAAATACCTGAATTTTTCCTCCTACTAAATATGGCTAAATTCGACATTATATTTGTCTGTGAAACATGGCTCAATGCATCTCTCCCCGACTCCATTACCACAGTAAGAGACTATCATGTTTACCGATCAGATCATGAAATTCGTAGAGGAGGTGGTATTGCTATCTTCTACAAAAAGTCCTTACATCTAAAAAATATCCAAGTTACCCAGGAGCTTGCTCTTCCTGAGACCATTATCTGTGAACTATCCTTAAATATCACAATTCGATTCTTACTATGTTACACAGCACCTGATTATGACATCGAACATGTAAACAAGCTAAATACACTACTAACATGGGCAGCATCCTGCCCATACCCTTTTATCTTTCTTGGTGATTTCAATCTGCCTCATATTGACTGGACCCTAAATGAATGTACAACTGAAACCATACATGCAACCTTTTACAATGCTGTTACAAATCTGGGACTGGAACAACTAGTATCCCACAACACTAGACTAAACAACTGCCTCGATCTCATCTTCTGCAATAGTTTGAATTTAATTTATGGAATACAAACTAAAGAACCCTTTCCAGCAGTGACCACAATATGATTGACTTT